CAGTGGGCCATATGTTCAAAGATGATTGTTATCATACCCTGGGAGTATGTGACACTATGTTAGAGTCAAGTGACAGTAACCAGAGCAAAGCTACAATGGTGAAACATTAAAGAAAATCTTTGAGGGGCGCCTGGGTGGCTCAGTCAGTTAAGCGTCAGATTCTTGATTTCTGCTCAAGTCATGATCTCAGGGTTGTGAGATCGAGCCGCACGTTGGGCTCTGTGCTAGGCGTGGAGCCTCCTTGAGATTCTCTCTCTCCCTCTGCCCCTCCCCCCCAAAATAATAAATAAATCTCTTTTTTTAAGATTTTATGTATTTAAGAGAGAGCACAAGCAGGGGGAGTAGCAGGCTCCCTGTTCAGCAGGGAGCCCAAGGCGGGGCTCTAGCCCAGGACCCCAGGATCATGACCTGAGCTGAAGGCAAATGCTTAACTGACTGAGCCACCCAGGCGCCCCAATAAATCAGTCTTAAAAAAAGTAAAAAGAGAGAGAGAAATCCTTGAGGGAGTTACAGGAGTGTTACACCCTGTATGTCTCAGGGATTTGTCAGTGGGCTGCAAGTTGTAAGGAGACTTAATTTTAGCTACATTTCTCTTGCCTTTGTTCTCCCCATCAGACATTGTTGAAAAATTGCTGGGCTGTTTTTAGCTACATTTCTCTTGCCTTTGTTCTCCCCATCAGACATTGTTGAAAAATTGCTGGGCTGTAGATAGTGATCAGGCCAAATTTTATAGGGAATGACAATGGATTGTATCACTCAACCCTCCTCCATTCTTGCATAACTTTCTGAATTGTTCACAGTGGTCTTTAACACTTGGGATTATTAAATTGACTGACTTTTTGTTCTAACCACTGAAATGGAGCTGTCGCAGTTGTCTAATGGATAGGGCACTGGCCTCCTATGAAATGGGATATACTGGGCATTTTATTGGCCTGCTACCTCATTACCAAGGTGATGGACATTTTTTCATATATGATCTTTCGTCTGATGTTAGATGTGTTTTGCTTCTTTTTCCATTTTTAAATTGTTTTTTTTTTTTAAAGATTTTACTTATTTATTTGACAGAGAGAGACACAGCAAGAGAGGGAACACAAGCAGGGGTAGTGGGAGAGGGAGAAGCAGGCTTCCCGCTGAGCAGGGAGCCCGATGTGGGGCTCAATCCCAGGACCCTGGGATCATGACCTGAGCCGAAGGCAGATGCTTAACAACTGAGCCACCCAGGCGCCCCTCCATTTTTAAATTGTGTCCGTTTCTTTTTACCCTGCAGACTAACCCTTTTACATTGCATGTATTGCTGATATGTTTTCTTTCCCTTTTTATCTTTTAACTGTCTAAATTTTAATATATTTGTATTTGTCAGTCTCTGGCTTTATGGTGTATTTTTTTTCTTACAACAGAATATTCTCCCTATTCTTGTGTCAACAAAACCTTTACAGTGACTTCTACAGGTGTCCTTGTTTGATCTTTCACATTTAAATCCACAATGAACTGGGTATTTTCCATGGAATAGAAGGGAATATAACACCTTTTTCCAAATAGATAACACTTTGTCCCTGCCCCGTGTGTTCATGGTAACTGCCACTGCCCTAAAATGCCTGCTCTGTCCTTGACCAAATTTCCATATTTAATACCAGCCCATGGAAGACACTTCCTTTCCCTTGGTCTGTTTTTCTCTCTGCTAATACTGTATGGTCTGGAATACCATAGCTTGACAATCCTTGATGTACATTAGGTAGACCACCACCTTGTTTTTCTGAAGACTCTGTCCATTTCTCGGCATTCATTCCTCATATTAGGTTTGGAGGGGCAGGCGCCCCTCAAAGATTTTCTTTAATGTTTCACCATTGTAGCTTTGCTCTGGTTTGTGTCACTTGACTCTGATAACCACAACCTCCCAGGGTATGATAACAATCATCTTTCAACATATGGCCCACTGACACACATCTAAAGAGTCTCATGACTAATGCTTCCTCATATTAGGTAGGTTTTGTTGATTCCTAAAGAATCTGTTTTGGGGGTTTATGGAATTTTACAAAGATACCATTTGGGAGAGGTGACATCTGGGTGGCACTTAATTCTTTCTAAGACTATGTGCTTAGATTTTATTCTGCTTTGATTGACACTTCCCAAAAGCCAATTCTTATTTTTTCTCATGAATATCATTAAATAGCCTTTATTAGTCTTGTTTAGTACTGAATTAAATTTGGTGTGGAGGAAACCAGGAACAAGCTCCCAAATGTTGTCTCACATAGGATGGGCTCCGTTCTCCAAGCAAGAAGTTGTGAGTACACGTGAATTATTGTCTACCAGGGAGCTCAGTAGAGACTGAGGGCCCAGAGTGTTTTCTGCAGGCTGATCATGTGGGCTCATTGGCACCTGTGTGTCCAACATGTAACAAAGTTACTGACTCTAAAAAGGAAAACAGGAGTTTACTATCTACCATATTATTTGCATAAAAACTTCAAGGCATACTGAGGCACTTCTCTCTGTAAGGTTATGGGTCACTCCCCACATCCCATACAAACTTTGTGAGCAAGCATTTATCAGGATAAACAACGGCCTTGGATCTCCTGATGTTCACTTCCACCTGCAACCTTTGTTCCAGGGGGTGCTACAGATGAGTTGTAGAAAGTAATTGGGGCTGACCCAGGCAGCTAACTTTACTCTCTGAACTCACAACAAGAGAGGCATTACTATTTTGCTGTTGTTCCACTGAATACATCAGTTCTAGCCTCAGAATTGCTGGGTGGGAGCCTTGTCTCTGTTCCCTGCCACAGAACATTTGTGAGCTGTTGATCTCTTGCTAGGACCAGCATTTAGGGGAATTATGCTGCAGGGGGATTCCTATTCCCGGGGATAGCTGCTCCGCTCTACCTAGGAGCTCTCAAACGAGAGAGGTTGGGAGGACAGCCTCTAGAGTGGTGGTCGGGCATCCTTTGCTGCTGAAATTAGAGCAAGGGGATTTTATATGTTTTGAAGAAAAGCTCTGTTCAAGTCTTTGTGTGTGTTGTGATCATGTGCAAATTCACCATCAAAGGATTGTGGATTTCAATGAGTGCCCTGCAAATTCCAAGTCTTGACCTGTTCTGCAAGGTCATCAAGGCCCAGGTTACAGTGTTACGAATCTGCTGAAAAGAACTTCTCTGTGATCTTATCCCAATATACCCTGAGGCTCACAAGTATAGGGATGTTGCTGATGTCTAAGTTGTTAACGTGTTCTTCCTCATGCCTGAGCTCTAACTCTGAATAACTCCCGGGCCCCATGAAATGAGACAGAGGAAAAAAAGGTAAAACTGAGCATGATAAGTATTATATGAACAAATTATAATTATACTCCTCCACAGGAATATGTTCGTGTAGCCAGCTGGATCTGACTACTTCTTTTTTTTTCTTAAGATTTTATTTATTTGTCAGAGAGAGAGAGAGAGCACAAGCAGGGGGAGCAGCAGAGTGAGAGGGAGAAGCAGACTCCCTCCCACGCCCTGAGCTGGGAGCCCGACATGGAGCTCGATCCCAGGACACTGGGATCATGACCTGAGCTGAAGGCAGCGGCTTAACCAACTGAGCCACCCATGTGTCCCTGGATCTGACTACTTCTAATGGCCTGGAGGACTGCAGGACAATCTGGCCAGCTGGACTTAGTTACAAGTTGCATTTCCACAGGCCTCCTGGCCTCTCCTATTTGGGGATGGGACTAGAAGAACAAGCTTCCAGCTCTTCATTGTGTTTTTATTCATTAAAACTTCAATCAGAGGCACCGGATGGCTCAGTGGGTTAAGCGTCTGCCTTCGGCTCTGGTCATGATCCCAGGGTCCTGGGATTGAGTCCTGCATCAGGCTCCCTGCTCAGGGGGGAGTCTGCTTCTCCCTCTGCCCCTCCCCCACTCGTGCTCTATCTCCCTCTCTCTCAAATAAATAAATGTAATCTTAAAAAAAAAAAAAAAACAACACTTCAGGGGCACCTGGGTGGCTCAACCATTAAGTATCTGCCTTTGGCTCCTGGGATCGACACCCGCATTGGGCTCCCTGCTCCAGGGGAAGCCTGCTTCTCCCTCTCCCACTCCCCCTGCTTGTGTTCCCTCTCTCGCTGTGTCTCTCTCTGTCAAATAAATAAAATCTTAAAAAAAAGAGAGAGATCTAAGTCTTCAAAGACTTAAAAACAAAAACAAAAAAACACTTCAATCATATATGGTGCTGTGCTTCATGAAGTGCTTTATGATATGGTGGTATTAAAGGAGGAGATGGAAGACTTTGTCTTTCAAGGTTTTGATGTACTTAAAATGGAAATATTGGGATGCCTGGGTGGCTCAGTTGGTTAAGCATCTGCCTTCAGGGGCGCCTGGGTGGCTCAGTTGGTTAAGCGACTGCCTTCGGCTCAGGTCATGATCTCAGGGTCCTGGGATTGAGCCCCACATCGGGCTCCCTGCTCGGCGGGAAGCCTGCTTCTCTCTCTCCCACTCCCCCTGCTTGTGTTCCCTCTCTCGCTGTGTCTCTCTCTGTCAAATAAATACATAAAATCTTTAAAAAAAAAAAAAAAGCATCTGCCTTCAGCTCAGGTCATGATCCCAGGATCCTGGGATCCAGCCCTGCACTGGACTCCCTGCTCAGGGGGGAGCCTGCTTCTCCCTCTGCCCCTCCCCCCTGCTTGTGCTCTCTCTCTGACAAATAAATAAATAAAATCTTAAAAAATAATAATAAAATGTTTTTAAAAATAAAATGGAAATATTAATTTTATTTGAATATAATTTCTCCAAGTTGTTCCGTACCTGACAGTAGAGACTGATGAAGACTTGATCACAATAAAAATGTAATGGTAAATCCCACGTGTTCGTGATGCTGTTAAATTCATTAGGAAATGGGTGTGAGCCAGAGAGGAAGAGTCTGATGACCCAGTCATAGAGTAAATGTTGAGAAATCAAAGTCCTATGTGAATTTCTTACGAATTGAGTAGAGATCTCCAGTGCTGTCTGTCTCACCCATCCTCCTGTACACATGCATGGGATGTTTCAGGACCCAGTGGCCTTTGAGGATGTGACTGTGAACTTCACCCTGGAGGAGTGGGCTCTTCTGAATCCGTCCCAGAAGAAACTCTACAGAGATGTGATGCAGGAAACCCTCAGGAACCTGGCCTCAGTAGGTAAGGGTGACGACATTCTTACTTACAAGTCCATTAGAGAACCAGTGTGATTTGCTCATCAGGGCTGTTTCGAGAGGTGAAATGTGGAAAGGGAATATGTTGGTAAATAAACAAGGCATGGTCATAGGTCCATATTCATGGACCTAGAATCTAACAATTTGTAATAAAATTTTATAATTTATTAAATTATAATTTAGTAATTACTATATATTTAATATATAAATATACTTAATAATTATATTTACTATAATTTATATGAGATTTCGGCTCAGGTCATGATCTCAGGGTTGTTAGATCGATACCCACATGGGGCTCTGTGCTGGGCGTGGAGCCTGCTTAGGATTCTCTCTCTTCCTGGGGCGCCTGGGTGGCTCAGTCGTTAAGCGTCTGCCTTTGGCTCAGGTCATGATCCCAGATTCCTGGCGGGAAGCCTGCTTTTCCCTCTCCCATTCCCCCTGCTTATGTTCCCTCTCTGACTGTGTTTCTCGTGTCAAATAAATAAATAAAAATCTAAAAAAAAAAAAAGATTCTCTCTCTTCCTTACCCTCTGCCCCTCCCCAATCCCTCTCTAAAAATAAAAAATTAGTAAATTTTTATAATTTGTACTGCAGAAAGCTACTGTGCATTTTATTTTTTTTTTTTAAGATTTTATCTATTTATTTGAGAGAGAGAGAGAAAGAGAGAAAGAACAAGCAGGGGAGGGGCAGAGGGAGAGGGACAAGCAGACTTCATGCTGAGCAGGGAGCCTGATGCAGGACTTAATCCCAGGACCCCAGGACCATGACCCGAGCCAAAGGCAGATGCCCAACCGACTGAACCGGGCGCCCGCTACTGTGCATTTTAGAAGAAAAATGGGAAGACCATGACAATGAAGATCAGGATGAAAATTCTGGGACAAATCTGAGGTGAGTCCCACTCACATGAGAAAGCAAGGTCCCAGGAGCGATTCTAGAGATGTCATGACATTTTTAAAAAAGCAAGTAAAGCAAATCAGCCCAGCTTCAAATTTGTAGATTCTTAGAATATTTTCATCAAAATTTTTATCAAATATGACCTAAGGGTACCTGGGTGGCTCAGTCAGTTAAGCATCTGACTCTTGATTTCGGCTCAGGTCATGATCTCAGGGATGTGAGATGGAGCCCTGCATTGGGCTCCATGCTGAGCGTGGAGTCTGCTTAAGATACTTTCCCTCTCCGTCTCTCTCCTCCTCTGCTCCCTGCCCCCCCAACCACTTGCATACTCTCTCCTCTCCCTATGTCTCAAATAAATAAATAAATAAATAAAATCTTTTAAAAACTTGTACTGCACTCACCCATCTTATGATGATGTGATGATAAAATGCCTACACAATGAGAAGTGAGGTGAATGATTTAGGCATTGTTATATAGCATCAGGTTACTATTGATCCTCTGACCATGTATCAGAAGGAGGATCATCTGCTTCTGAACTGTGGTTGGCCATGGAAAACTGAAACCCTAGAAAGTGAAATTGCAGATGAAGGGAGGGAACTGCTGTATATTTACTCTCAAACAATCAGAAATTATAGAAAACCTATACTTTCCTTGAAAATAGCTTAAAAAGTCATTTTTACAATTATTAATATAAAATTATTAATAAATAAGCTAATAATAATATGCTTCTCATTTTTTATAGCAGACATACAGTAGAGAGACTGTAAAAGAAAACAAGGTTGTCAATGTGGAAAAACCTTCAGCCAGATTCCAGATCATAATCAGAAGAAGAAAAGTCCTACTGGAATAAAACTACATAAATGCGCTTTGTGTGGACAAGTGTTCAGGCATCATTCATCCTTTAACAAGCACATGAGATCCCACACTGGCCACAAACCATATGAGTATCAGGAATGTGAAGAGAAGCCTCATAAATGTAAGGAATGTGGGAAATCCTTCAAGCATCGCCAATCCATTCAAATGCATGAAAGGACACACACTGGACAGAGGCCCTATGAATGTAAACACTGTGGGAAAGCTTTCATTTGTCACAATTACTTTCAAATTCATGAAAGGGCACACAGTGGGGAAAAGCCCTACAAGTGTACAAAATGTAGTAAAACCTTTAGTTATTCAAGTTACTTACGTAAACACGAAAGGACTCATATTGGAGAGAAACCTAGTGAATGTAAGCAATGTGGTAAAGCTTTCAGTTGTCTCAGGTCCTTTCGAATACACGAAAGGATACACAGTGCCAAAAAGCCTAAGGAATGTACAAAATGTGGGAAAACCTTCAGTTATTCAAGTAATTTATGTAAACATGAGAGAAGTCATAATGGGGAGAAACCCTATGAATGTAAGGAAAGTGGGAAAGCATTGCATTCTTTCACCAAACTTTGAAGATACATGATCAAGCAAAGCGGAGAAGGACTCTATAAACGTAAGGAGTGTGAAAAAGCCGTCAGGTGTCCCAGATCCTTTCAAAGACATGAACTGGGGGCGCCTGGGTAACTCGGTCAGTTAAACGACCAACTCTTAGTTTTGGCTCAGGTCATGATCTCGCAGTCATGAGATCAAGCCCCACATTGGGCTCTGCACTCAGGGTGGAGTCTGCTTCAGATTCTCTGTCTCTCTCCCTCCACCTCTTCCCCAGCCCTGCTTGCACATACTTTCTCTCTCTCTCAAATAAATGAATAAATAAGTCTTTCAAAACAAAACAACAACAAAAACCAAAGACATGAAAGGGGCACACAGTGGAGAGAAGCCCTATGAATATAAGGAATGTGGTAAAGCCTTCCTTTCTCCTAGATCCCTTGAAAAATATAACAGAATACATAATGGGAAGAAACCTCATGAATGTAAGGAATGTGGTAAAGCTTTCTGTTATCCCAGTTTCCTTGGAAAACATGAAAGAAGTCATAGCGGGGAGAAACCTGTGAGTGTAAACTATGTGGTAAGGCCTTCAGTAGTCACTATGATGTTCAAAAACATGAAAGAACTCACACTGAAATGAAACTCTATGAATGGAAACTCTATGAATGTGGGAAAGCCTTCACTTATCCTTCAGGTGTTCAGTCACACACAGTAATCCACACTGGAGATGGACCTTATAAATGTAAGGCATGTAAGAAAGCATTCGCTTCTCCCAGGACATCACAAACGTGAAAAAACTCACACTGGAGAGAAACCCCGTCAATGTAAAAATTGTAGTAAAATCTTCAGTCATCCCAGCTCCTCACGAAATCATGAAAGACTCAAACCTAAGAGAAAGTCTGTGAATATAAATAATATGGTAGGGGGCGCCTGGGTGGCTCAGTTGGTTGGGCGACTGCCTTCGGCTCAGGTCATGATCCTGGAGTACCGGGATCGAGTCCCGCATCGGGCTCCCTGCTCAGCAGGGAGTCTGCTTCTCCCTCTGATCCTCTTCCCTCTCATGCTCTCTACCATTCTCTCTCTCAAACAAATAAATAAAATCTTTAAAAAATAAATAAATAAATAAATAAATAATATGGGCTCAGGTCATGATCCCAGGGTCCTGGGATCGAGTCCCACATCGGGCTCCCTGCTCAGCGGGAAGCCTGCTTCTCCCTCTGCCTCTCACCCAGCTCATGCTTGCTCACTTGCTCTCTCTCTTTTTCTCTCAAATAAATAAAATTTAAAAAAAAAAAAAGAATATGGCAAAGCCTTCATTTGTTGCACAATCTTTCATGAACAGGTAAGAATGCACACTGGATGGAAACTGTAGAAATGTAAAGAATCTAGGAAAGCCTTTAGTAGGCCCATTTCCCTCGGGAAGCCACGAATGAACTCCTACTGGAGAGAACTGTATTGAATATGTAAATATAGGAAAGCTTCACTTACCCCATGTCACTACAAAGCCATGTAAGAATGTACACTGGGTATATATTGTATGACTAAAAACTCAATCAAACTTTTGCATTTTTTAAAAGAATTTATTTATTTGAAAGAGAGAGTGACAGAGAGCACAAGCAGGGTGAAGGAGGGAGAAGCAGACTCCCCGCTGAGCAGGGAGCCGGACGTGGGACTCTATCCCCGGACTCTGGGATCATAACCTGAGCCAAAGGCAGATGCTTAACCAACTGAGCCACCCAGGTGCCCCAACCTTTTGCATTTTAACAAATATTTCAAAGAAGTGTGAAAACTGTATGGGAAAGAAGTCATATTAATGTAAGTAATACGAGTAAGTCTGGTGAACATTAATTCAGGTAGAATGCTGGCAAAAGTTCACAACATGAAAGAAATTTTATGAATATTATACATGCACGGCCCTTATCAGTGACTTATTTTTGAAGTGATTCACTGTAAGATGGAGCTCTGCTCACTCCAAGTATATATTGAGGTGAGATAATCCTGTAGGTGCTATTTAAGCAACAGTTCTTAAGTTTAATAGGTAATTTTTTTCCTTCAGTCAGTTGGTAACAATTTTTGTTCCTGTTTTGAAATATGTTGGATCCATGGGTAAATTGAAGTGTATTTCTAATATGCAAGTAGTTTAATTTTTATATAATTTTGTAATCGTTGTCTCAGGAACACTGAAAAATGACAATTTTGGGGGACAATTGGCTGGCTCAGTAGAGCATATGGCTCTTGATCTCGGGGGTCATAGGTTTGACCCCATGTTGGGTGTAGAGATTATTTTTTTTTAAAGATTTTATTTATTCATGAGAGACAGAGACAGAGGCAGAGGGAGAAGCAGGCTCCCCACTGAGCAGGGAGCCTGATGCGGGGCTCGATCCCAGGACCCCAGGATCATGACCTGAGCCAAAGGCAGACGCTTAATGACTGAGCCACCCAGGCGCCCCCTTTTTTAAAGTATTTTTAAAAATATTTATTTGACAGAGAGAGCACAAGCAGGGGGAGCAGCAGAGGGAGAGGGAGAAGCAGGCTCCTCTCTGAGCAGGGAGCCTGATGTGGGGCTCGATCCCAGGATCCTGGGATCATGACCTGAGCCAAAGACGCTTAACTGACTGAGCCACCCAGGTGCCCCCTGTATTCCTTATTCTTTGTGTTGCCAATCAAGTATCTACTCCAAACCACCAACGCCTGCTAGACTTCCATTTGACCTGAGCAGTAGGGATCTACAGTTGTCTCCACAGTTCTTTTTTTTTTTTTAATTTTATTTATTTATTGGCAGAGAGACGCAGTGAGAGAGGGAACACAAGCAGGGGGAGCGGGAGAGGGAGAAGCAGGCTTCCCGCAGAGCAGGGAGCCCGATGCAGGGCTTGATCCCAGGACCCTGGGATCATGACCTGAGCCGAAGGCAGATGCTTAATGACTGAGCCACCCAGGTGTCCCCACCACAGTTTGAAGACCCAGCATAGTTTGGATTTCCTGCAAGCCGTTATGTGTCCACCAAGAAACAGATTTATACAGTCGTGGTTGAGAATGTTCTCTGAAGCGCTGCTCCCCTCTTCTCTAGATAGTATTTATATAAGCTCTAATTTGTATAGTAAACACCTTGTTCTCTTAATACCACTAGTGACTTGTGTTCCTCACTCTGCTATGACAGCTCACTGGTGCAGTCCACAAGAACTGTGTGGGAGTTCCTTCTCCTACTGCACTGTGCAGTGACTGCTGTGTGACCCAGTCCTTCCCTGTGACAAGTGACACCTTCCTCATAACGGGCAGATTCTGGGTGTTTTGTGTTATGACTCATAGCTGAGTGTCATCCCTCAGTATGTTCTCAATTAAGTTGGAGTCTGTGTGATTAAAAGTATGTTCATGTCGGGGCGCCTGGGTGGCTCAGTTGTTAAGCGTCTGCCCTCGGCTCAGGTCATGATCCCAGGGTCCTGGGATCGAGCCCGCATCGGGCTCCCTGCTCCGTGGTAAGCCTGCTTCTCCCTCTCCCGCTTCCCCTGCTTGTGTTCTCTCTCTTGCTGTCTCTCTCTCTGTCAAATAAATAAATAAGATCTTTAAAAAAAAAAAGTATGTGCATGTTTTCCCCTAATGAATATTTCTGTATTTTTTCCTTGGAAATATTATCTGTTTTCCATGTCTTCCTATGCTAAGAAATATGTTTCTTATTTCCTCTGGGGACATGTTAACATGTCCTATTGTAATTATGAATTTTCATGTCAGCTTGTAGCATTCATACATTCTAAGTCAATATTATCACCTTCGTAAAAGTTCAGGCATTTCCCCCCCTCAAATGTTCTTTTTATTTTTTAAACTTATATGTAATCAATGTAGTTGTTTTTTTTTTTTCAAACAAAAGCCCTCACATATTTATTTATTGCTAAACCAACCTACTGGTGCAGAAGCATAGTAACAGAGAAGAATCATTTCCCCAATAAAACATGTCTACTGTTCAGGTGTTAAGGATGTTTGCAGAGTGATAGGATACAAGCACGTGACCTTCACATAACTATGTTGGCCATCTTGTGTGAGATCGCTTACAGACCCAGCTTGGTTCCCTCCAATGCCTCTTCGTGGAGTTGTACCAGATTTTATTTTTTTAAGAAATTTTATTTATTTATTTGACAGAGAGAGAGAGCACAAGCAAGGGGAGCAGCAGAGGGAGAGGGAGAAGCAGGCTCCCCACTGAGCAGGGAGCCCAACGCGGGGCTTAATCCCAGGACCCCAGGATCATGACCTGAGACGCTTAACCAACTGAGCCACCCAGGCATCCCTGTTCGTTCCAGATTTAACAGGCCAAATTCAGCTATTCAAAGGAGAGGCATGGGGAATAATTAACCCTTCACTCAGTAGGCTTTGTATATGGTTTCAATCCTTCAAGGGTCTGTGCAATTTCCACTGGGCCATATTAGTCTCTTTATTTGAAGGATAAGGTTCATGGAGTCCCATCTTTTTCAAGATCATTTGTAAGTGGCAATGGCTTACCTTAATTTTAGTTTATGAAGCATTTGTTCAGAGCTTCCCAGCTCACTATGGGATATTTTAGGACAATGGGTGCTGTGACCATGGGGGTTTACACAGGACCATACTTCTGATGGTCAAGGAGAAAGAGCTGCTCTATTTGTCCCCTATATACTAGTCAGTAACAGCCCTGAGATCATCCAGGATACCCTGCTTAAATGGAGGGGGATCCCAGGTATACCTGTAATTTAAGACCTAGTATTTTAATTTTATTTTATTTACCCCTCTTCCAGGGGCACTCAAAACCCAAAGGGACAGAGAATATTAAGGCTCATCGCGGACCCAGACACGGGCTCGATCTCAAGAGTTGGACCTTTAACCGACGGAGCCACCCAGGTGCCTTGAGACCTAGTGTTGATTAACTGAAGGTTTCTGAATTAGTGCATTGCATTATGCCAGATAGCAAAATTAATCCAGAATTTATGTTGTAGAGGCTAAAAGTCAAGCAGTGTACCTTTATGTGCTGGATTTACAATTTGGTCAAATTGTGGTCTTTTGTTTCCGTATTTTATCTATTAGTTCCTTACCCTTGACCATCCCTGTTTTGTTTTCTTTGTCACTGGATATACTTCAGGGGAGCGGGTGTCCTCTCTACCCTGGTATTTATACATTTTTCCTCCTCAAACCACTGCATCAGGGTTAGGAGCCTCTCTCCCATGACAACCAGTGGCTTTACTGGGTTTAGGGACCATGGGCTCTGTCAGCTTTGAACTAATCCCTTTGCTGTGCCCGGGGAGGGGACCATGAGTGTTGCCCCCTGGAGCTTGGGCTCCGGATCTTTGCTGCAGTAGAGGGCGTGGCCTCAGAGGGACTGAGGGTCCTGACGAGCTTCCCGAGAGCAGGAGTGCGGACCCAGCCCGCCATCTGCTGGCTGCCTTTGACCTTCTCTTTCTCTAGGTAAATGACTATCTCAGGAGTGACCACCCAGTGGGCCCCCCTCTTGCACAGGATAGAGTCCTCTCTGCCACCACACCCTCTGTCACAGCGTCACCCTAACACAAATATAAACCAGCAAACACATCAGCCCGGGACCACCTGAAGGAGGGCCTCGATCTAACACTCCTGCTCCCACATGCCTAGGGCTTCTGTAAACTGCCCACTCTGGTCGGCCAAACACAGAACTGAGGCTTGGGAGGGTCACGCATGCAACCCGGGGCAGCACAGGTCACAGCACGAGCTCCCCAGCCCCAAGCGCCCGTGGAACATGCCGCCATCAAGCATCAGAGCAGCTGAGCAAGTCAGAGCAAGAGAAGCAGATCCACAGCATAGCAGTCACGTCTGGACGTGGCTCATGGTGCCAGTAATTATGGTCACCTGCACAGGAGTCGTTCAAGTGTTGAGATCGATGACAGTGAACACCCCACCCCATCACACACACTCAGACGGTGGTAGCAAGAGGCTTAGGACTCACAGAAGTATCGGGGAAGGTAGGTAAGCCTCTCAAGCAGCTCTGAAATGGCTTCAGAAAGCCAGCAAGGAAGGAGGGGCGCCTGGGTGGCTCAGTCGGTTAACTTTGACTCAGATCATGATCTCAGGGTCCTGGGAACGAGCCCCACGTAGAGCTGCATGCTCAGTGGAGAGCCTGCTTCTCCCTCTCCTCCCCACTTGTGCTCTCTCTCAAATAAATAAATAAAATATTAAAAAAAAAAAAAAGGAAGCAAGGAAGGAGAGCTGGCTGGGTGTGTTGGGGGTGGGGAGGAGACCAGCTCCTCTAGCTGGGAGCACAAGGGGCAGGAACGGGGCTTGTGGCACAGACGGGGGGTGAGGCTTAAGCTGTCAGCACTCAAACACCCAAAAATACAAAGCCTGACTGCTTATTATGAGGAACAACGTGGGTAAGAAAAACATGCATTCACAATTGCTTGATTTTATAAAAAGAAACACAAACAGGAGTCAGTGTCAGTATTCTCCAGAGACACATACAAACAAAAACTGATCCCAAAATGCAATATGTACCTGAGAACTTAAATACATTCATCTCCCATCTTGAGGTTCTCTTGCTTAAATGGAACACAAATTCTATTTGGTTTCCCTAGTTTTCTAGCTTTCCCCACACCCTATCTCTCAATCAACTTATAGTTTAGCAGCCCAAGTGCTGAGGGAAACCAGAGCCAAAGGGCTGCACTATTTATCAGGAAAGGAAGCCAGGAGGGAAGCCTGGGAGGCTCAATCGGTTAAGCGTCTGCCTTCGGCTCAGGTCATGATCCCGGGGTCCTGGGATCAAGCCCCGAATCGGGCTCCTTGCTCAACCAGGACTCTGCTTCCCCCTCTGCTTTCCGCTCCACCTGCTTGTTCTCTCTCTCTCTGACAAATAAAATCTTAAAAAAAAAAAAAAAAAGAAATCCAGGAAACAAACATTGGACTCAGCACAGATGAGCAGCCTACTTCCCCTACGACAGAAGGAAATCCACATTCACAAGGTTCCACATTCTAGACTCTCCTGATGGGGACAGCAGCCCTGGAGTGGGTCAGTCCCTGGTGAGGGAGGGTAGGGGCACCTGAGCAGCCATGGTAATGAACCCTGGGAGCCCCGCACACCGTCCTCTCCCAGGGGCATAAGGGAACCGCTCCCTCCCTCCTTGCCTGGGGGAGGGGGGAGCCTGCTTCTCCCTCCGCTTCCGCCGGCTGCTTCCGCTCCTCCTGCTCTCTCAGACAAACAAACAAACAAATATCTTTAAAAAAGGATTCAGTTCAAGCTTCTGCCCCAAATAACCTCCCCAGTCATTGACCCTAATCCGGAACACAGAACTTTCAGACTTTTCAGTGTAAACAATTTACGCCCCGAGTTCCCCTATTCTAACCCATGGGAATTATGAGGCTTAAGGGAACCTCAGCGGCAACTTCAGAAAAGGCACAGGTGTCCTCCCACCCCACCCCACCCCTACAGGTGCATCCCCAGCCTCCCAGGGCTCGGTAGCTTCTCTGTATAAAGGGCTCCTTCTCAGGTGGGTGTGAGCAGGAAGGACACCTGCAGGGGGAGGCTTCCTCAGGAAGAACAACTGGGCCTTCAAGTACTTCCCTCTCCAGGCTCAAGTTGTGTGTGGGGGGGGCCTTAGCTTAGAGCCCTGAGGCTTTGGCTCCACCCCCCCGGAATTGTTTTGGACCATGAATGTTATTTTATTTTTTGAGATTTTAATTTTAAGTAATCGCTACATCCAACGTGGGGCTGGAACTCAGAACCCCAAGATCAAGAGTCATATGATGAGTGTTATTTTTTAAATTTTATTTATTTATTTATTTATTTATTTATTTATTTTAGATAGTGGGGAGGGGCACAAGAAGAGGGAGAAGGACAAGCAGTCTCCGCGCTGAGTGCAGAGCCCCCACGAGGGGTTTGATCCCAGGACCCTGAGATCCTGACCTGAGCCAAAACCAAGAGTCAGACACTCAACCGACTGAGCCACCCAGGGGCCCCATGATGAGCGTTATTTTAAACAACACAAACCCAGAGTTTGAACCATCCAGCACAATTTATGTGGAAAGAGGGAAGAAAATTGTAAGGCACTTTGCAAACTCAACAAGAAAACCCCCAAGTATCTATTGCATTCTGAAGGGAAAAATAAGTCACATTATTATTTCCATTGGGAGAAAATTTTTATACACTGTTCATCATACGTGAACACTTAAGTCTGCAAATCTAAACCCTTTAAATCCTTTTGAATTCACCCAACTATTCTGACCTCAGAATAGTTACCAACAGGATCAAAAGAAGAATAAAGGGAGATAAATAATATTTAATACATGCAATGTAATCTTGGAATTTTTTCCCCCTGAAATTCACCTATTTGCCACTTTGGAAATATTTTACACTGTTTCAAGCTGTGATTAAATAAATTTTTGTTTATTGAAAAGCTGAGACTAAAGTTAATCTTATAACTCAGGGGTGCCTGGGTGGCTCAGTGGGTTAATCCTGTGCCTTCAGCTCAGGTCATGATCTCTGGGTCCTGGGATCGAGCCCCACATCGGGCTCCCCGCTCAGCGGGGAGTCTGCTTCTCCCTCTCCCTCTGCCCCTCCTCCCTATTTATGTTCCCCTTAACTCTGCGTGCTCTCTCTCTCTCCCTCTCAAATAAATACATAAAAAATTAAAAAGAAAAGGAAATAAATCTTATAACTCAGGTTGGGTCGGCGCTGACAACACAGGTCACCGGGAAAGTTACAAAGACGAACTTCCACGTAGAGACTTCCCACAGGATGTCTGTGCCCAGGAAAAGATCCTGGGGGGAGAGGCACAAGGATTTCATACACCGTAGTTCCAGATGATTATTCTCCTCGTTTCTCTCAAGTAAAATATCTACAGACAAAAAGCAAACCTGTTTAAAGAGAGTCATCCACTGACTGTGGGAAAATGATCAACAAAAGATTGGGACTGTTGGAAATGCACCACAAAAGGACAAAAAAATTGATGATGCTCTGAATCCGAGAGGGGAAATTGGCTCCTGGGACGGTGGGGAAACATCTGGGAATTTAGAGATTTATTGCCAGTCCAAGGAAAGGACAGGCTGGGGGACAGGGTCGTGGATTTGACCCTCTGCTTCCCAAGCATCGGAAACACTCAGGAGAAAATGTGTGCCCCTCGGGAGAAAGGAGAGACTGGGGACCCCACAGTCCACAGCACCTCCCGCGCACGAACCTCGGAGACCGAGTCACGACTGTCCCCTGACGACCCTCCCCGTGGTCACCGCACGATCCGGGCAGACGCGGCCGCGCGCAGGGACGGGACAGGACGCCGGGGTCCCGGCTGCCCGCGCAGCCCGCACGCCGCGCGCCGGAGGGGACTGAGGTCCGAGCGGCGCCACCGGAACTCACGCGGCTCCGCAGACTCAGCAGATGATGGGACCGGGGTCCCGCCACCGCCCGTTCAGGCCGTGTCAAACCCGTCCATCAGCCCCCGGTCTTCTGGGCACCCCAGGGAGCATGCTCACCACTCACATTTCTAGGTTCCCTGGGTCCCTCGGCGTCCCTCCTAGGACTGCGACGATCAGTGCACATCCCAGCAGGACAGGCGACCGCAGAGCAACGTGGGGCCTCCTCTGCACCGCCGGGGCTCCTGATCCGACCTTTTGTGACCTTGCCCCCCCCCCCCGCGTGTGACAAATGGTCTGGGGTTACCTGTCTG